ACAGAGAATCACAATCTTAGTAATTTCATTTCTACAGCAAAAATTGAGCAAGTTATTTGTTATTTTATCCGAGGGAACTCAGCAAACAAGGCCAAATAGGGAGTGAGCAATATCTTTATCATGCCTTCGGAAGTTTGCATTTTGCAACTTTACAAGTTTTTAACCAGTGAGAACAAGTATGATATTGTAAAACCGACACGAACATGAAAAGAGACAGTAAAACTGGCAAATTTTTTAAGGCACGAGAAAACACAAGTGTCTAAGGTACGGATGATTTTAGTTTTACATCTCATCACTTGATAGGAAAACCAAATCAAGACATTTCCGAGTTGTTTTCCGCACTCAATTTTAAAATTGCATCGACCGAAAAAGATTGGTCCCAGCATTGGTAGGATGGTCAAGAAAAGATACGGGCGCGCATCAGATTATCAACAAGGAGCTGTCAAAATTTATCTTTAATGTAACATCCTTCACAATGTTTACAAATCACGTCATGGATGTTTTCACTTCAGCACGATGGCTTAATTATCTTCACTGAGCCCTTGATGTGAGCTTTGAACTCGGCCACTGAAACATAATAAATAAATAAAAGGGTACGTTTCTAAAGAAACTGTGGTGCTGCGTCGGTGGGAGAGTATAGCAGGTAATTTAGTGTTAACAACTGGGTTGAAAACGTAAATTAGCCACCGTAAAGGGTAAAAAAGCTGACGTTTCGAGCGTTAGCCCTTCGTCAGAGCGATCGCTCCTTACTTACCCTTTACGGTGGCTAATTTACGTTTTCAACCCAGTTGTTAACACTAAATTACCTGCTATACTCTCCCACCGACACAGCACCACAGTTTCTTTAGAAACTTACCCCTTTATTCATTTGTCTGATATATCTTCCTTTTTTGGCGCCTTTCTCGGTTTCTCCAGTATCTTTAGTCTTCTTTCACCTTTTCAGCTTCTTAGGGTGGTTTTTCTCAGCGTTACTTGCAAACGACATGTAGAGCATTCAAGCGGTAATTTTAACTAATCGTTTTTTCTCCGCACAAGGCAGTTTAGTTCACAACGCAATTATTTGCAGTTAGAGTCCGCGATAATTTTACGCAGTTTCCCTCCAGAGAATTTCGTTTACAGTGGCCGTTACAATGTAAATGCAAACCGGGTTTAACTGGATGAAAGTCAGGAACAGAGAACTGGAAAAACTGAATTTATCATTGGTTTCAAGTAGTTGACAACATTCAACAGTCAACACCAAACACTTAGTTTGGGTAGCTTCTATGAAGAAAACAACCTTTTAACTGACCGTGTTTAACGAAACAGCTTTAAAACATGTTTAAGCTTATATTAAGTCTATCTACGTCTATCTTAAAACTACTTTTAAGTCTACCTACACTTCGTCCTTCGTTTATTTCAATCAACCTTTGAATTTTGTGGAATCCTCGCGGTTTCGTCATTTCGGCCTCATTGTATTAGCAGTTACACACACTAAACATTTAATACTATTTTACGGACTATTGCTAAAAGAATAATTTACCTGTTTGGAAACTTTTACCAGAAACGGTAACCGAACCATCTCGAAACAATTTCCATGATCCAAAGGTATTCTCCCATGTGAGGCAGATATGATGCCACACAGAAGTGTACTTTTAGTATCTTAAAGCTTACAGCAACATTAAATCAAAACAACTATTGTGATTAATAACAGGACAAAACTTCAGATTAAATACTTAAACCCGTGATGGTTGTTGATGAAAACCCTAAAATTTCTATAGTTATACAGGAGAAGCTCCTCGCGTCCTCCAGACACAACATAGCTCAGGGGTGTTCCTGCATTTCTAGTATCAGCGGTTTTTATCCACAGACAAACTGTCACAGCTGACAGGTTTGGCATACCGCAATTGATGATGACGTAATCACTGGTTCCTTTTCGTGGAAATTGCAGAGCGTATCCTGCAACTGTAGAATTACTCAGGTTTTTACTGGGATACCTGTGGTAGCCCAGTCATAAAATGCCTTTGGTTTTTTTGTCGTCCTTTTTTTTTTTTTCCTCCGCCACAACATGGAAAAATTGCGCAATAGTACCCAGAGGTCATTGGGCCCTCAACACCATGACAACTAACTGTGATCCAATAAGGTGTCCACATGCTGATCACGCGTGTTATCTTGATGATGATTGACGTTGTCATACACGGACAGGGCCGGGTTACAAAACGAATCACGAGATTTTTGCTTATAAAACTCTTCGGTCAGTTGTTTTGTATTTCAACGTATTTGGATTGCGATCTCCTGGAGCATTATGGCGCAAACGCGCAAAATACTTACAGACGCATATACAAGTTGTATTAATCGCGGCTAATCCGCACTGAAAGATGTTAATGAGCGGTAATTTTGGAACGGATTGAGTCGCGAACGCTTGAAAGCCTTGAATGCCTTGTATGCTAAGTATGCCAATGTCTTTGTTGAAAAACGTTCACTTGATGTAAAAAGCAAAATCTGAAATCTGAAACCAAACTGCATATACTCTATGCAATCTATTGAACAACACTACTACCGTGAGACTGAAGAACATAACTTTAGTGGATGCAAACTGCTTGTGAAGAAAGACGACATGTTGGATTCACTTGATGGCAAGGAACGTAGCTACGATAACAGTACGAATGGTATTAACTTCACGATCAGAAAGGTGAATCTTATGTTTGTTTTCATTGTAGTTGTATGGATATTCTTTTTTAATAAATAAGTGATCCAAAACCCTGTGTTTTTTTGTGTATAATGTTATTATGTTAAATATTGTTTACGCAATTGTCTTGTCACAGGTGGCGCAAGCTCACGTCTCGAGAAAAAGCCAACGATTAATTCATGAACGCGTCACGTGTTGTGTGACTCGGTGTTAAGTTACGAGAGGAACTGTTGGAAATTTGAACACGTTATAAGGAATAGTATAGGGAACGAAGTATGGTCGATTTACAACGATAAATATTTCGAAATATGAACATTTTTCTCGTAAAATCAATAAAACTTACTCATACCCTGTGTATCCGTTGTATTTTCTAGCTATTTCTGCCCTTTTAAGCTTGCTTTACTATCACTGTTATTCACGTCATTTACTTTTATTACGTTGGTAAAATCTGTACAGACATCACACCAACCAACTCGCGCACAAAGTAAGAAGACCATATTGAAGGCTTGTAATAATATTGCGATCGATTTTCATTAAGAAATGGGCCAGGAATATTCCACAGTAGTGCAAATAATCGTGAAGGGGGATCGCAGAAAAGCGATTGCGTGACGCGCGGTAAGTTGTAAGATGACATGTTATTATATACCAGACGTAAAAACTCTTCAGATTCTTAGTCTGCATTTTGTACCCACTCTGCAGTCTGCAGTATATATTTTGTATCCGGTCTGCAGTCTGCTGTCTGCATTTTGTACTAATAGGTATCCGTGGCACCAATACAGTTTGTTTTTGGTTACATTTATTCGCAAAACACATAATCTACCTCAAAATACCTGTGAGCGAGGTAATTCGACATTTTCGTTCTTTCCCACATTAATATTCTTCTCTCCTTTTGTAAGAATGTAGACATCACTCACAATGTTTCAAGTAATCCACCCACCCTACAAAAAAGTAACTCTTGCATGAATAGCATGCCTATGTTTTGAAATAGGTGTATGCCCTTGGCCAGACTTGAGCGCACTATTTCAGTATACAAGTCCGACACCCGTAGTATCACTACACTTGATTCCAAGGATCCAGTACCATCGAGGTATCCCAGTTACCCTGCTCACAGGGTCTAGTTTATTTGTCAACGCTGTTTTCGAAGCCTCTTTAAAAAAGTTGTGCTGTCGTCCTTCGCTTTACTTGTTTTTAGTGCAACTACTGTCAACTACAAGCCACAAGGGTAGTTCAATAACAAAAGGTTATGGTTCTATAGATTACTGTTAACGTTTTCAGGAGAACTTTCACCTTACACCTTTTTAAAACCGATGGTCAAGCGAGTTTGTGATTACAAAAGCAGCATTCCAAGAAATGTTGCCGTTGTTGGTTTTTTTTTTCGTATGAGCATACCATGCAGCCCCACAAATACATTTTTTTTCAAGCGTGAAGAGCTTAGTATCACCATCCAAGTGGCCGCTGAAAGAGGCGAAACAATTTTTCACAATGCACAAATAATTACAGTATGAGTGATGTGCAACTTACTAAGTTACTTGTCACGCCAGCAGTTAATATTCGAGTAGTAGACTTCCACACAATAACTAACGTAGTTCATAACCTATGAAAAGCTCCGTCTGATCAAAAATAATTCTGAAAACAAACATTTCTGCAATCTAAACCGTGAGGAACTCAGAGAGCGCTTCCTCTTCTGAATTTAAATTCGGGAAATTTGGTTACTGAGAAGTGTACAAATATTGTATTTTTTAAAAGGTAATGTTTACAGGTTGCAAGGAGCAGCCCAATACAATGTAAAGGCATTTAGTAATCTTATCTGTATCAAGAAAGAAAGCTAATCCTACCTTGTTTCTCCAAGCCTGTTAGCCTCATGATGGCGTGGAGCAACTTGCACAAATCTTCATTCGACTCGCTTAATAACTTTAATCTGTTTTTAATTGTATTTTTTAAAAGGTAATGTTTACAGGTTGCAAGGAGCAGCCCAATACAATGTAAAGGCATTTAGTAATCTTATCTGTATCAAGAAAGAAAGCTAATCCTACCTTGTTTCTCCAAGCCTGTTAGCCTCATGATGGCGTGGAGCAACTTGCACAAATCTTCATTCGACTCGCTTAATAACTTTAATCTGTTTTTTATTTTAGCCAATTCCACTTTTGTTTCTCGGGCGGAAGACATAACTACTTCATTATGGTCTCCAGTGATGAAAACTTTGCCATCCGAGACGGTCGTAATCACTCGAGTGGATGAGGAAATATGAGGTGAAGCCAAAAAGATCAGGAGCAAACAAAAACGAATCGATTTAGTAGTCAACATAGCGACAGAAAGAGGTCTGCTAATAAGACTGAGTCATCAGAGAAACCAAAGCAATTTTTTATGAAGCACGATGAATTTTGATAAATGTAAATAGAACAAGTTTATTTTTCTGGACGACGATGACGTTTGCTTTTTGCGTTTTATAAGATACTTGTGACACGGTTGATTACCAGCCCCATCAGTTGATAAACTGGACTTTCAGTGAGCAAGTAGGAGTGACTTAGACATCATTTATACAGTTGCACTTCAATTTATCGTCTCTCTTTCCTTATTTTTTTCCTTCTCTTTTTTTATTTTATTTTTGGTTTTTTTAGTTGCATTTCAGTTTGGGTTTTCCTGTTTTTCAGTTTGATGTTTCCTTTCACATGCTACTTTTTGACGAAAATTGTGTTCAATGTGTACAGAGACGGTTGTCTTCAATTACGTAATTTTGTAGCACACTACTAAATACACTACAAGAAGAGGATAAAAAAGGAGGAGAGGTTGCAGGAATGTGTTCAGTATATACTCTGTTTCCGAAATGCCTTGTTCTGCCAATATCGGAACTAAGCATGCGTTTTTACAATTTGTACGATTAGACGACGTATCAGACAATACAAGAGGAGCCATGAGAGGAGCAGTATTGTTATCTTTCTCTCTCACTTTTCCACCTTTGCTAACACATCGAGTGATTAACCCTACGAATTGCAAGCTATTAGCGACGTAAGGGATGAATAGAAGTCGAACAACAGCGTAATAGATGTGGGCTGACAAATTGTGATGCCGATATTTGAAATTCAAATATATATCTTTGCAGTCTTGGCAGTTGTTTCATTGGTTTCAAGCAAATCCGTGTCAACAGACCGGGATGTTGACACTGAGGTTTTCATACGTGTTTACATGAGCCCATGGCGACCATCGATCAGAAGGGAATTTTTGGAACAAGAAAGCGCCAGGTTATTTTCCAACGTTGTCATCTTGTTCTACAATTTTTCCTCTTTGATGATAAGTGACGGCAATTTCAAATGTTCCTAGAAACAAAGGAGTGACAACCAGGACAATTTTCTAAAACGGAACAACATTTTTGAGCCAACAAGACATATTTTGACATCCCTACCTCAACAAATTCCTTAGTTGTGAAAGTTTCAAATGCATCATTTGAGCTTTCAGTGTGCACTTTACATTTTTAAAACTAGCTTTCGCATTTCTTTCTCCGATGTTCTGCCGTTAAGCTACAGGAACTCTATAGTGAGCAGGGCCATTACATAGCTCATATGCGACGCATGTCTTGCATACTGCTAGAACCAGCAATGTTGAACTGAGCCACGTGCGAGTAAATAGACTAAGAAGGGCGGCAGAGTAAAAAAAAAAACCCATAACTCTTTCTACATTCAACGATTGAGCCAAAAATCAAGCAATAGAGGAATTTTTCCGAGTTTATATTGCATCATCTAAACACGCAGGGAGTTGGGAAAGTTATGCTAGCCCAAGACGCGGTGAGAATTCTCCAAAGCCTCGAGTGTTTGAATGATCGAGGCTTTGCAACCAGGGAAGAATGCTATACTTCAGAGATTCAACCTTTCAATTTATTCTTTCTTGCGTTAGTCGCCTTAGGCAGTGTTCACTCTTGGTGCCCGGGCACTAGTACCCGGGCACCGGCACAAAATGGTGCTGTGTTCAGACACACGGTACCCAGTCTGAAGATATGTTCACATTCAATAAACAGAGCACACGCTCACTATTGAGAAATTGTTCGAGTCGCAACATGCGTTTGTTCCGTGTTCAGTATATCTGCTTGCTTACTGTTTTTTATGGCTTATTTAATTTTGTAATGCTGTGTTTCTACATGAAACATTTAAGAGACACCGCGGATGACGACGACAAGCGAAGATTATCTCGGATCGTCACGGAAGTCTGCGCTAGCATTACAAGTAGGTTGAATGTATTCCTTGCAGAAACGAGTGATAGTGGAGGGAGAGCAGCTTGGAAAATCCCACGAATTCAGAATGTTCTAGAACACGAATTCCTTCATTTTCCTGACAGAAAATGGCTGGAAAGTTATCGTATCTCCAAAGATATGTTTGAACAGTTGACGCATGATTTGCGGAGCCTTCAGCGACAGGTAACGAGACTGCGTAGTCCTGTACCTGTACGAACAGTTGTAGCGATGCTACTGAAACGTCTGGGAAAAGGACTGGACTACAGAGAGATCGGAGACAAATTTGGAGTCGGTGCTTCTACTGCATGCATTAAAGTTAACGAAGCTATGAAACTCCTGGTTAGTTCCAAGATGCACATCATAAGCAAAATACAAAGAGGAATAGATTTTAAAAGAATCATAAATGGTTTCCAGAGAAAGTGGAATTTTCCCCAATTTTTGGGTGCCATCGACGGTACCCATATACCCATAAAAGCCCCCCTCGTCCACCATGCGGACTATTATAACAGGAAATGTTTCCATTCAGTTATTTTGCAAGGTGTTTGTGACAGTCAGTGCTGCTTCACTGATGTCTTTGCTGGCTGGCCTGGTCGAGCACACGATTCTAGGGTGTTTGGGCGTTCTCAGATAGGAAATTTGATAACAGAGGGAAGACTGATTCCTGATGATTCAAATTTGCGACGGGTTATCGATAACCACGTCATTGAGCCATTTCTTATTGGGGATCCAGCTTACCCCATTTCCAAGCATCTAATGAAAAACTACCCAGGCAGCAATCTCACACCTGAGAAAGAGCATTTTAACTATAGACTCAGTCGCGCCCGCATACAGATCGAGAGGGCATTTGGACGGCTTAAAGGGAGATGGAGATGTCTGCTTAAGGCGTTGGAATGCGAACTCGATAAAGTTGTACTTCATGCCACAACAGCCTGTATCCTGCACAACATGTGTGAAGAGCCAAAAGAGTACTACCTCGAAGAGTGGAACAGGTTGGGTGAAGATGAAATTGGTGACCTACCTCGACCCGATCCGCTGAACGATGATGACGCAGATAGCAATTCTAATATTATTAGGAATATCTTGGCTCATTTTTTGTACAACGACTGATCACCAAAGTCATGTTACGTGAACTGCATGGTTTCATATTTGTTTAACTTTCGGATTACAATAAAAGGAATTAACGACGAGGCAGGACCATTTAACAGTTCAGCTGTATTTCGATATTGACTTATGAGCGTTTGAAAACAGTTCCACGCATCAACTTTTTGAGATGCTATAGTTAAATTCGTAATGTGTTTTATTTTGATGGAAAATAGAGTTGTGTTTTAACTATACAGTTGTTTTTGCTATGCAGTTGCTTTTTACTATACAGTTAACATTTTATCCCCAGAAAATTAACACACTCCTTTGTCAGTTGAATTCCTGCCATTAAAGTGTTATTGTATTTTTTCAACAACTTATTATAGACAGAGTTTCAATAAATAAAACACAAAATTGAAGTGACCAGCCTAACCAGAAATTACTGATTGCTCTGTTTCTGGAAAGACAATTGTGTACATTTCCCAAACAAACTAACAATAGAGACCAAGGTCGAACAATCGCTTATAGTTTCTACCTTAGTAAATCCAAAACAAAACAAACTTAAGGTGTAAAATGCATCGTGACAAAAAGTATGTTTTTTGCTTCAAAATGAATTATTACCGTTTCAACTCAACATAACAACAAAGTCACCATTAGTGTCATGAAACATGCACCTGCTTTGATAGTTTCTATAAGGTAAAATAGTCGTTTTCTTCAACTGATGATGGATCACTTGTAACTGAGCTTGATGATGATGGTCTTGCTGATGGAGTATCAAAACCAAAACCCATGCCACTGGGTAGAAAACTGTAGTTTGGCTGGACACTTTGAGGAGCATATACCTGGTTTGGTGGATGATATCCTGGACCAGCTCCTCGAAGTAGCATTTGGGTCATGCCCATCATAGTTTGCGACATCATACCAAACATGTGGCGAAAAAATTCTCGGTCTTCTTCTCTTTCTTTAGATCGTGCCTCGGGTGTAGTTGAATTATTCTGCATGTAATCCTGCATCTGTCTCATTTGCTCATTGGATTGTTCCACTACATCGCACAGGCGAGGTTTTTTCTTAGGTTTACATGCCCTACCACTCTTTCTCTTTGGTGTTTTTGATGGATGAGTAGCCTGAGAATTTGCTTCAGCTGTACTTGTTCTTGTATTTGGTTCTGATGCTGCAATAACGGCAGTTGGTTCTTCTGTACCTGATTCTGCTACTCTTACTTCAGCATTTGATTGTGCATCCACACATTCTCCTGTGGCTGAGCTTTCGAGCAAATGTTCCTCTGGAGGGTCTTCAACAGGGTGTGTTCCTGAATGACAAGCATACCATTTTATTGATAACAAAAATCAAAGAGGATCTGTTTTGATATCCCACCTAAATATAACAGAGTAGTTTTGGTTTACCTTGTGTATGAAAATAATGAAATAAGAAAGTTTAAGTTTTACTTGGGGCAGGAAAATTCCCAAAGTAGGGCTAAGAGCTATTTTTGTGTTTTATCCAATGAAGTGGTTTATCAGGATTATCACCATGAAGAAGGTAATGACAGTAATTCTTTCCTCTTCAAATCTGTTAACATTTTAATAGTCCATTGAAATTTTGTATATTAAAATCTTCACATGTGCTATATATAAACAGGTACTTCCCTCCATATAAATATTTGCATTTTCAAAGTTATGACACGTAAAGGTTGCGGTCAAAGTTCACAAATGCTTCACTTGAACTTGACAATCACAAGTGCATAACTTTCTATTTGTTACACAAACATAACTCAACCTACCCAAAATACGGTCAAGCTTATCCCAGTGCTGAAATGCTGCCTTCTCCTGGCTTGAAAGAGCTTTTGAATCATACGGTCGCTCTGCTCCTGATATTTTCATCCTATCTTTCAATTTGCTGTACCCGGATTTCAGTTTCTTTAACTTTGTCTCTATCTGCTTCGCTGTCCTTTGGATGTCATTGTTTCGCTCAAGGAGGCCTTTGATTGAGGAATATAAATCTTTGTTTGTCGTCATGGGCTCTGCTGTCGTCTTTGCATCACTGAAAGCATCTATAAGTGCACTAGTTTCATCCTGACTCCACTTTGCACCGTCGGACGCCATTTTGAAATCTCGAGTGGGACAAGGAATTGTGGGTACGAAAACAAGTGGTTTGTGGGTAAAGTGCCAGGGCACCAACGAAAAATGTGTTCACACAAGGACTCAGTGCCCAGTTTAGTGCCCGAGTACAAGGTCGAGACCTTGTACTCGGGCACCGGCACCGTGCCCGAATTCTGGCGTGGGTACCAGGAAAAAAGGTGTGTTCACATTGGTGCCCGGTGTAGAATAGAACCCGGGCATGGTGCCCGGGCACCAAGTGTGAACACTGCCTTAGAAGTTTTTGTTTCTGTAGAGCTGCCTTAAAATTAACAGCTTTAATCTGTCTTTCTTAATTTCATACTAAAGAATACTTTGATACATTTTACCACGAATTTACAAAATGTCCTTACCAGTGTGGAAAGTTGGTCCTTCACGTTGCAAATTAGCTATACGAGCTTGTAAAATGGAAACATTTCGTAACGAAGAAGAAGGGCACGTTATATTTGGTGCCATCACGTTTACTGGCGATTGTTTTAAATCTGGAAATCTAATTAACCTTTTTTAAAGCTATTTCAGCAACACCATTGAGCAAGTTATTTGTTATTTTATCTAAGAAGTGTGCAATATCTTTATCATGCGTTCGGAAGTTTGCATTTTGCAACTTTGCATCTTTTTAACCAGCGAGAACAATGATGACAGGGAAAAACTGACACGAAAAGAAAAGGTGCGGATGGTTTTAGTTTTGCAGCTCATGACTTGATAGGAAAACCAAATCAAGACATTCCCGAGTTACTTTCGACACTCAGTTTAAAAATTGCATGGACCGAAAAAAATTGGTCTTAGCATTGGTAGGATGGTCAAGAAAAGATACGGGCACACATCAGATTATCAACAAAGAGTTTTCAAAGGTTGTTTTTAATGTAACATCCTTCACAATGTTCACAAATCATATCATGGATGTTTTCACTTCAGCACGATGGCTTAATTATCTTCACTGAGCCCTTGATGTGAGCTTTGAACTCGCGCCACTGAAACACGTTGCCCACCCCCGTCAGGCACGACTTTGACATGCGTGCGATTTCTCGGTCTTTTATGACGTGATCCCAAATGTTGACACCTGTCATTTCGCCGATGAAAGAGTGAATGGCTTCAAATTTTCCTCCCTTTGAGTCTTGCTCCTGCCCTAGTACCAGGGATCCATTTGCACGAATCACGTTACCTGTGGGGAGATAAACAAGAAATTAAGGAAAACGATAAATTCACCAGTAAAAAAAAGATTCAACTTTGTCTTTTTCTTTGATTAAGCAAATATCTGGAGGAAATGATAAAAAGACTGGAAAGTGAGAACATTTTTTCCTTTTGAGTGAGTCATGTCGCTCTGTTTGTTCCAACCCCCGCATTACTTTTTGGGAACCATGCACTTTATCCTTAAGTGACTAACATAACGTATACTGTAGCATTTAAGTGATAAATTTCACAATCTCTTATTAGGTAATTTTACCATCACAGTGACGTGCATTTTTGTCAAGGTTTTTGCATGTTTTTCAAATATTTATCTTTTTGGCATCATTGATCATTACCTCGTCAGAGTTTGTCTGTTATATTTTTCTTACAGGCCTATTACTACTTTACGACATTTGCTGACCAACATTAAAGACAAAGACGAACCCAACAACAGACAGGGAGCGATTTATAAGATCGAATGCTCCGACTGCCAGGCCTCCTACATTGGTGAGACTGGTAGAAACCTTAACACGCGACTAACTGAACACAAACGAGCAACTAGAAATGGCGATGTAAACAATCACATTTCTGAACATCACCGACAAACTAATCACAGAATCGACTGGGACTCTGCTAAATGCTTAACCTACAGTACAAACTATTTTCAACGACTGACTCTGGAAAGCTGGTTCACTAACTTAGTACAGACGCCTCTCAACAGATGTCAAAAATTACCAGCACCTTACAAACGACTCATTAACGACGTGAACAAACCGACAAACAGACCGACAAACAACAGACGGATCGAAACCGACCAATGACTGTTAACAAACTCTACACGAGTCTTCCAGCCAATCACATCACGGCTAAACAGACCAATCACGTTCAACAGACCAGACTTTATAACATCATCGACTGACAACTACTCCTCACTTGACTCTGAAGATGACTAGATGACAGATAGTCGAAACGTCAGTCACCAACAACAGTTCTTTTCAGAACTACACTCACCCGGACGATCACACTACACGAACTATATTTTTCTTGTTATGCGCATTTCTCGGTTTCTCTAGTATCCTTAGTCTTCATTCGCCTTTTTCAGCTTCTTAGGGTGGTTTTTCTCAACGTTACTTGCAAATCACATATAGAGCATTCAGGAGGGAATTTTTCACTAATCGTTTTTTCTCCGCAGAAGGCGGTTTAGTTAACAACGCAATTATTTGCGGTTAGTTTCTGCGATAATTTTACGCAGTTTCCTCCCAGAGACTTTCGTTCTCAGTGGCCGTTACAATGTAAATGCAAACCGGGTTTAACTAAATGAAAATCAGGAAAAGAGAACTGAAACACTGAATTTATCATGGGTTTCAAGTATTTGACAACATTCAACAGTGAACAGCAAACATTAGTTTAGGTGGCTTCTATGTAGAAAACAACCTTTTAACTGACCTTGTTTAACGAAACGGTTTTTATGGAGTATAAGTCTATCTACGCCTTCCATTTAAAACTACTTTTAAGTTTAAGTACACTTCGTACTTCGTTAATTTTAATCAATATTTGAACTTGCAGAATCCTGCATGGCGGTTTTGTCATTTCGGCCTCTTTGTATTAGCAGTTACACACACTAAACATTTAATAATATTTTACGGACTATTGCTAAAAGAATAATTTACCTGTTTGAAAACTTTTACCAGAAGCAGCAACCGAACCATCTCGAAACAATTTCCATGATCCAGCGGTATTCTCCCATGTTAGGCAGATATGATGCCACTTTCCATCATTGGCGGATACAGAAGTATAACCACTATAATTAGCAGCAAAACGCGAGAAGTGTACTTTTAGTATCTTAAAGCTTACAGCAACATTAAATCAAAACAACTATTGTGATTAATAACAGAACAAAACTTCAGATGAATACTTAAACCTGTGATGGTTGTTGATGAAAACCCTAAAATTTCTATAGTTATACAGGAGAAGCTCCTCACGTCCTCCAGACACAACATAGCTCAGGGGTGTTCCTTCATTTCTAGTATCAGCGGTTTTCATCCACAGACAAACTGTCACAGCTGACAGGTTTGGCATACCACGTGTGATGATGACGTAATCACTGGTTCCTTTTCGTGGAAATTGCAGAGCGTACCCTGCAACTGTAGAATTACTCAGTTTTTTTATTTGTCAACGCTGCTTTCGAGACTTCTTTAAAAAAATTTCTGCTCTCGTCTTTAGATTTAATTGTTTTTGGTGTAACTACTGATTTGATGCAAGTTACAAGGGTAGTTCAATAACAAAAGGTTCTATAGTTTACAGTTAACGTTTTCAGGAGAACTGTCACCTTACACCTTTTTCAAACCATTGGTCGAGCGAGTCCCCGATTACAATAACAGCGTTCCAAGAAATGTTGTCGTTGTTGGTTTTTTTTTTTATGAGCATAACACGCAACTCCACAAACAAATTTTTTTCAAGCGTGAAAAGCTTAGTATCACAACCCAAGAGGCCGCTGAAAGAAGTGAAACAATTTTTCACGATGCACAAATAATTACAGTTATGAGTGCTGTACAATTTACTGGGTTACTCGCCACACCAGCGGTTAATATTCGATTAATAGATTTCCACCCAATAACTAACGTAGTTCAGTATAACCTATGAAAAGCTTCGTTTGGTCAAAAATAACTCTGAAAACAAACATTTCTGCAATCTAGACCGTGAGGAGCTCAGAGAGTGCTCCTTCTTTTGAATTTAAATTCGGAAAATTTGGCAAATGAGAAGCGTACAATTACTGTATTTTTTAAAAGGTAATGTTTACAAGTTGTAAGGAGCAGTCCATTACAATGTAAAGGCATTCAGTAATCTGATCTGTATCAAGAAATAAAGCTAATCTTACCGTGTTTCTCCAAGCCTGTTAGCCTCAATTTCATGGCGTGAATCAACTTGAACAAATCTACCTTCGACTTTTTCACTAACTCCAGGTTCATTCCAATGCCATCGATTGTTTTGTTCAGCGCATCAATTTTTCCGGGTATTTCGTCAGAGGGCAAGATTCTTTGGTCCAAAGCTTTCAAATTTCTTGTCAGAACATCATTTCCCTCGCTTAACAACTTTAGTTTGTTTTTAATTTCAGCCAATTCCAGTTTCGTTTCTCGGGCGGAAGACAAAACAATTTCATTCTGGTCTCCAGTGATGAAAACTTTGCCATCCGAGACAGTCTTATTCACTCGAGTGGATGAGGAAATGTCAGATACGGCCACAAAGATCAGGAGCAGATAAAAACGAATCGATTTAGCAGCGAACATGGCGACAGAAAGAACTGAGGTCTGCTGATAAGACTGAGTCATCAGGGAAACCAAAGCAATTTTTTATTAAGCACGATGCATATTGATAAAAGTAAACAAAACAAGTTTATTTTTCTGTACGACGATAATGTTTGCTTTTTGCGTTTTAGAAGATATTTGTGATACAGTTGATTACCGGCCCCATCAGTTGATAAACTGGACTTTTAGTGAGCAAGTAGGAGTGATTTAGACATCATTTATACAGTTGCACTTCAATTTATCGTCTTCCTTTCCCTTTTTTTCCCTTCTTTTTTATTTTATTTTTGTTTTTTCAGTAGCATTTTAGTTGAGTTTTTTCAGTTTTTCAGTTTGACGTTTTCTTTCACATGGTAATTTTTGACGAAAATTGTGTTCAATGTGTACAGAGACGGTTGTCTTCAATTACATAATTTTGTAGCACTACTTAATACACTACAAGAAGAGAAAAAAAAGTATAAGTTGCAGGAATTTGTTAAGTGTATACTCTGTTTCTGAAATGCCTTGTTCTGTCGGTATCGGAATTAAGCATTCCTTTGAAGAAGCTGTACGACAAGACGACGCATTAGACAATACAAGACGAGCCAAGGTAGGAGCAGTATTGTTGTTATCTTTCTCTCTCACTGTTTCATCTTTGCTAACACATTGATTAAATTACCTTACGAATTGCAAGCATGTAGTGAAGTAAGGGATGGATAGAAGTCTAAATTTACATTGTGAGCAACTGGGAATAAAGCGAACAACATACTTAGAGTAAAATTAATGCTTTTGGGGGAGCGCACATAACTGTTACACTCGTAAACAGAGAGGCGAAATCTTTACTCATTACCCCGAACTGCATCTGGCTCAAGAGGTAACTTACAAGACTATTTCTGCATCTGGCTCAGGAGGTAACTTACAAGACTATTTCTGCATCTGGCTCAGGAGGTAACTTACAAGACTATTTCTGCACGAGGATCCACACCCTCCCGCTCCCCCAGTTACTAAGACACTGTATATTTTATATTTTCCTTTCGTTTTAACTTTTAGATTTTAGATTCTTTGGGGTCGCGGTTTAATCTTATCTTCATCTTGTAAGCCTAATATTGTAACGCCCCAAATATGAGCGAGAAGTCGTCGCAAATTGTATCCAAATTGTGTCTATCTTTGTTTTACTTCTGTAAAATATTTTACGGAAGTCGTCGTGTTGAAATCTGTGTGTTTTATTCATGCCAAAACCGCCTAATATAGGTGACCTCCTAAAAGAGGTGAAAATTAAAGTAATTAAGGGGGCAACATTTTCGGGACTTTGAAAACCGACAACTCAATAGGGTGGCCGCTTAATGTGATGCCGCTTAATACAGGTTCGACTGTACGTTTTTGTCAGTTATTCACTAACAAGCAGAACTCTTGTTGCTGTGATTCCCTGTACAAGACTGCTTTTATTAAAATCTGACATCTGTAATTCATAACTCTTTTATTATCTGTAGAGCCAGAGGTAAAAGAGGGAGGCCTAAAGGGAGTTATCATAGGCTATATTCACAAAGTGTCTTCAGTAAGAAGAAAGAAAAGAATACTAAATGATTTGATCGTTTAAACCCAAGTGGAAGACAAAGCTGTAAGAGCTCTCTCTTTTGCTTCACATCACTCTCAAAGAAACGGACAGCATTGTATGTAGATTTGGTCTAAAAGTGTACCGATACCAAAAAAAAAGTGTTACGCACAGAAAATACTTGTTTCCTACGATAAATTAGTTAAGAATAGCCTTTTCATTTATTTAGTACTTTCTCTCCAACAGGAACACAGTGGATCAATTTGCTTACTGAGAAAACGCGGAACTCAAAGTCTGAATATTAAACAGACTATAAAACACTTTCTTGAAAACTACTGTACTTTGGTACACCTATGCAATCATTGACATCCATTCAGCATACCTTCAAAGTAGACCTATAGCGCAGTACAGCAGTAAGCATGCAATTTCATCTTGCACTAGACAAACGTACGCAGCGCGGACCTGTTTTGTTTTGTTTTGTTTTTTTTTGTAATGGCACCTTTTCGAATCGTAGGTCATTTTTAGCACCATTGAATCTACATTATCACTAAAACAAGCCCGAATGAAGCAATGTGTTGTAAAGAAGTATTGCAGCCACAAATATCAAGAAGAGATTAAAACTAAGCGACTCTTTACCGAAGATGGCGGCAGGAAGAAGTCTTCAGTAAGATAGAGTCATGAAATAAACTTAAGGAACATTTATTGATCACAATGTATTTTGACCTAAACAAGTTTTTTCAAGACGACGATAATACATGCTTATGATGTCACACAAAACAGCTATTCATTTACCAGAGTTGTTTATTAATTATAAAGATTTCAGTGGGCGATCGACCGTAAACTTTCATTTCTTGATTTACTAATTGCACCGAAGAAGGTTTTATCGAAAAAACCTGAATTAACTTTGTTGCCCGTAAATAAGCAGAAATTAATCCTGTATCATTTTTCAGTCAAGAAACCTTCGACTAACCTTTCAGCGAATTTTCCAACATGAAATTTCCTTGTCAATTTAAAGTTGATCACATTAATTTGGGCTTGCAATAAAACCCAATGCTACCATACATTAAGAATTTAAATTAAAAAACCTCAGTACGGCCTATAGCTTAAACTTGAAGCGTGTTTTGAACCCGTTACAATTGTAACGCTTTGTTCAAATAAATTAAATGGGAACAGAGGCGTTGTGAAATGTCATATTCACTATACTCATGTTCCTATCCTAAAATAGTATTAAAGTATTAGATAATCGACAACCTTTGGGGGCAGCCTCAATATTTCTTAGGAAATAGCCAACATATTCGAGTTCATTTTATAAGATTGTGCCGAACTGTAGCACCTGTAGCGGTTACCTAGAATTGAATAAGTCAGTCTGCACATGTTTATGACTAATACGGTCATTGTTTGTGACACAAAAGGACAAAACATATTTGTGTAATGTATCAAACAGAGAGAAGCCTGCGAACATCCATTAATCCGTCGGATTAGAACTGGTGCAATTATCAGAAGCGCAGGGTTATACGATCGAGCGCAAACAAAACTGACCGCGCGCAATTTAAAGCAGAGTACCGCTCGGGACTCCATCGTAAGCCATGGAATGACCTCAGATATCTTGAACGAGGTCAAGCACAACAGTGTTTACACAAGAAAAAGAGGCTCAGAACATTTGATTAATAGAGCTTTCATAAATGTAATGTCATAAAAATAGCGAATAGCTCTATGTTAAGGCTAATTCATGTTATTAGGGCGACACATTGAAACGTAATGTAGCAGACGTTTCCAGTTCATATTTAAAAAAACAAAAGAACGATTAAAATGTCTTCTGTCCACACTAACAAGGATCACCAGGAGTTACCTTGCGCATGTGCATAATAAGGGTCAAAATTTTAACCTCGATACTATTGCTGTCATTGATGTATGCAACGATAGCAGTGCTTTGGTGCGTGATTAAAATTAAAATCATTGAAATATCTTACAGAGAATTACAGTCTAAATAATCTTATTTTCATAGCTAAAAATTGAGCTAGTTATTTATTATTTTATCCAAGGGAGCTTGGCAAAAATGGCCATGGCCATGACAGGGAAAAACTGACACGAACATAAAAGGTGCGGATGGTTTTAGTTTTGCATCTCGTCAGTTGATGGGAAAACCAAATCAAGACATTCCCGAGTTACTTTCCACATTCAATTTTAAAATTGCACCGACCGAAAAAAATTGGTCCCAGCATTGGTAGGATGGTCAAAAAAAAAAACGGGCACGCATCAGATTATCAACAAAGACCTGTCAAAATTTATCTTTAATGTAACATCCTTCATAATGTTTACAAATCACGTCATGGATGTTTTCACTTCAGCACGATGGCTTAATTATCTTCACTGAGCCCTTGATGTGAGCTTTGAACTCGCACCACTGAAACACGTTGCCCACCCCTGTCAGGCACGACTTTGACATGCGTGCGATTTCTTGGTCTTTTATGACGTGATCCCAAATGTTGACACCCGTCATTTCACCGAAAAAAGATTGACTGGCATCAAAACTTCCTCCCTTTGAATCTTGCTCCTGCCCTAGTACCAGGGCTCCATTTGCACGAATCACGTAACCTGTGAGGACATTAACAGGAAATTAAGGAAAAAGATAAATTCACCGGTTAAAAAAGACTGGAAAGTGAGTACATTCTTTCCCTTTTTAACTCGTGAATTGCGCGCATGCGCAAGAGCGAGTTATAGATACGATGTGGGGAATGGCATTCGCTCGCTCGCTCGCTCGCTCGATTGGTCGATTCCTGTAAACTTTTTTTAGATTCTAGGCTTTTGAGTGCATTTGATAGTTTTTGGCGAGCAATAAACAGACGAAATGGCGACCTTTGTTGCTAAGAATAGTGGTGGGGTGAAAAAGAAGCCAATGATAATCTTAAAAAGTTTTTTTTTTTCGTTTTAGTTTCAACAAGCGGCGCCAGCGACTGGCAGGCATGCAAGGATTCACACTGAAATAACAGAACAACCTTCGTTTTTCATAAAATTGTAATTTACAATCCTTGAACTTGAAAAAATCCGAAGATTCATTGAAAATATCACTTACTGCGAAGCGCTCGGAGTTTACAGATGTTCAAAAGCTTTTTCTGTTATAGCGTGAGATTGAGGACAAAATTGATCATTACGTTTCGTCGCGTGTGTTTTCCTGTGTGAAGTAACAGAAGATGCCGGCGACTGACGAAATAACAAGTTAACACGAAAATCAAATAACACCTAAACAAACAATTTTAGCTACCGATTTTCAGTGAATTTTTAAAGAACAATTTTCTTTTAAGTTTCAAGACAATTTGAAGATTCAACATAAATACAACGTACTAAAATGCGAAAGTTACACACCACAAAATTGATAAATAGGCCTGAAATGAAATTCTATCTTGTTATTGATTATACGTTGCCTAGCACGCGACTTAAATCTACCCAGGCGGAGATCCAAAATGACGGTGGCAGTCTTGGCTTAGTTATATCACTCAAAACTCGTTCCCGTTTGTCTCATTTGATAAAGAGGGAATCGTTAATGTTTTCATTAAGACAGTATTGCCTTGATTTTCTAATATTTACAACGAAAGAAAGTAAATTTCACTTTTCACCCACATTTACTTCCAACCTTTTCTTTTGAACCAGAAACAAAAATGATAGACGTTTAAAACACATGACATCATCCACCTTGTCAAATGTAATAGCATGATCATTTCAATTGTAATGCCTTCTTATCCCAACGTTACTTTGTTTCTTTGCTACATTAGCGAACACTGAACTACTGCTCGTATTCTAGATATGACAATCAACCACAAAATTCCCTAAACCAGATAACATTAAACATAGTCTAAAAAATCATGTGTCAATTCACGAGTTTGCTCACAGAGCGCTTTGATTTCGTTTTCTTAATCAATAATTTACCGAATAAGCGAGTCATGTCGCTCTGTTTGTTCCAACCTCCGCATTACTCTTTGGGAACTACGCACTTTATCCTTAAGTGACTAACATAACGTACACTGTAGCATTTAAGTGATAAATTTCATAATCGTTTATCTAGTAATTTTACCATCACAGTTACGTGCATTTTTATCAAGTTTTTGCATGTTTTTCAAGTATTTATTTTTTGGCACCAGTGATCATTACCTCTGATATATTTTCCTTTTTTGGCGCTTTTCTCGGTTTCTCGAGTATCCTTAGTCTTCTTTCGCCTTTTCAGCATCTTAGGGTAGTTTTTCTCAGCGTTACTTGCAAACGACATATAGAGCATTCAAGCGGGAATTTCAGCTAATCGTTTTTTCTCCGCACAAAGCAGTTTAGTTCACAACGCAATTATTTGCGGTTAGTGTCTATCTAAAAACTACTTTTAAGTCCACGTACACTTCGTACTTCGTTTATTTCAATCAATCTTTGAATTTTGTGGAATCCACGCGGTTTCGTCATTTCGGCCTCTTTGTATTAGCAGACACACACTAAACAATTAATACTATTGTACGGACCATTATTAAAAGAGGAATTTACCTGTTTGGAAACTTTTGCTATGAAAGGCAACCGAACCATCTCGAAACAATTTCCATGATCCAGCGGTATTCTCCCATGTGAGGCAGATATGATGCCACTTTCCATCATTGGCGGATACATTAGTATAACCACTAAAATTAGCATCAAAACGCGAGAAGTGTACTTTAGTATCTTCAAGCTTACAGCAACATTAAATCAAAACAACTATTGTGATTAATAACAGGACAAAACTTCAGATGAAATACTCAAACCTCCCATGGTTGTTGATGTAAACCTCAAAATTTCTATAGTCAAAAAGGAGAAGCTCATTGCGTGCTCCAGACACAACATAGCTCAGGGGTGTTCCTCCATTTCCATTATCAGTGGTTTTTATCCACAGACAAACTGTCACAGCTGACAGGTTTGGCATACCACGTGTGATGATGACGTGATCCTTGTTTCCTTTATGTAGAAATTGCAAAGTGTATCCTGCAACTGAAGAATTACTCAGTTTTTTTATTTGTCAACGCTGCTTTCGAGACCTCTTTAAAAAAAGTTCTGCACTCGTCTTTAGATTTAATTTTTTTTAGTGCAACTACTGATTTGATGCAAGTTACAAGGGTAGTTCAATAACAAAAGGTTATAGTTCTATAGATTACAGTTAACGTTTTCAGGAAAACTGTCACCTTCTACCTTTTTCAAACCGATGGTCGAGCAAGTCTCTGATTACAACAACAGCTTTCTAAGAAATGTTGTTGTTTGGTATGAGCATAATATGCAACCCCACTGTTACGGTATAATCTAACCGACAGAAAAACACTGCAATCCTACAAACTCAACTTCTTTATTATACAAAGAGTAAAGAGTATCTCCTAAAGACAGTACAATACTTATCGTTAATAAACTTAATTAAGCCCACTACAGTCTGTATCTTAGGTCACCACTGACCCAAACTCACGGTTTTCTCCAACGTTTCTTCAAATTAACAATCTCCTACTGTAGCTCTCTCTCTCAATATCGCTCTCTCTCGATATAGCTTTCTAAAGAGTCATCACTCCAACAACAACAACAACTAACTCTACTACTAAATATAGTTACGTTCATAAAATGTTCTGGAATATTCCAGAAGCTCACAAAAGAATTATTTTAGTAGTACTACATAATAACTCCGTGACTTGATGAAACGTTCTAGAAAGTTCTATGGTACGCATGTTAGTATCTGGAGATTTCTAGAAGCTTACATTTACGACAACAATTACCCATAACACCACATACAAAATTTCTGATTTCAAGCGTGAAAAGCTTAATATCACCACCCAAGTGGCCGCTAAAAGAAGCAGAAAAAATTTTCACGGTGCACAAATAATTGGTTATGAGCGCTGTACAACTTATTAAGTTATTCGTCGCGCCAGCAGTTAATATTCAAAAAACAGAGGAAAAATTTTCCTGACTGATAGATAGATAGATACATGTAAATAAATAGACGCATGAATATAAAAATGTCAAGAGAATAGATTAATAAAGTAATAAATCTCTTGAGAAAGTTTGTTAAGTTTCTCATTTCTTATTGTACCATGATCATTTTTACATCATAATACTTGATAGGCTAGCTAGGGTGATGCGAGTTTCCATAGGAAGGTAAAGCAAAATCAAGCAATCCTACATTGCTTACAACACACAAGTGAAAATTATTTTAAAGATACATACCTTGCATAGCCAATGCCTTTATCGTTTCAGATGTGTTCTTAAATTGCAAAGAGAGCTCTTCGATTGACTTAATCACGACATCCAGTTTCCTTACGACACTTTTGTTAAACGAGTGAGGACTTGCGTACCACGCCTCGATTGTTTTGTTAATTAGAGCCAGTCTTCCTGAAGAAATTAAAAGACATAAACAAAGATCTTTCAATAATAAATGTGTGGGACATAAAACACATTGATTCATGGTGTGAATTTTCAAACAAATTTCGATTCTTATGGAATCAAAATGAATTTCACAATGAGATTACTGTTGTTTCCAAGTATTATTTCCAAGTTACACTGCCCTGCGTGATTGTAATTTTCGCATAATTTGCAAAGTGGTAATGAAGGTTATCTGTGTAAGGAAAAGATATCTGGGATTTTCCAAGAACTGAGATTTTGACTCGCAAGTATATTTAAATGAAATTAAATCGAACTGTCAAATAAATCTTTTACACTTTTAAAAGTCTACTTTTAGAAAACAATACTGAATTTCTCGGGAGGTTCCCCACGTGTGTTGATAGAGGGTTTGTGTGGGGTACATTCGAAGAAATGAAGCCAAAGATCACCAAGTCATTCGCAAGCAAAGGTTAGATGCGATCGGATTGTGTTACATTACTTCCTTGAACATGCGTTAGATGCGTACTTTCCACTGGCATATTGGTAACATTTTTGCGCTTCAAATTGGCGTTTCACATCGTTTTTATATGACCTCTTTTCCGTGGAACCTGTCTTACCTGGTCATCACCAGCCATTCTTTGTGGGTGACAACCTAATACAGGTTTAACTGTGTAGAAAATGATGTCATAAGGGAGGATTGGTGACTCAACGTCAACAGCCACAAATAGGAGGAATGTTCATCATTGGGTTAGACTTTTTTTTCGTTTTGCATCTCCTTGGTTACGAGAGAGGCCCAAGTTTCCTTCATAGACCAATCACGAACCGCATTAAAGCAAAAGCAATACATCCCAAGTTGAAAATCAATGTAAATATGCATACCTTTCATTTCCAAAGTAGTCGTCCTTTCAGACATGTTCATAACATTCACGTTTACTAAATCCAGTTTTCTTTCCATATTTGTGACCAGGGAGTCGAGGCGTTTGGACAAAGCTTCAATAGCTTTGAACATTGAGTCCTGGTTACCTGTAGACAATCGCGACAAAAAAAAGCTAAAATGGCTGATTACACACATAAGTGGTGCAAAGAAAAATTGTGGCACATTGTGGACATTCAGCCATGTTCATGACATTCACGTTTACTAAATCCAGTTTTCTTTCAACATTTTTGCCCAGGGAATCGAAGCGTTTGGACAAAGCTTCAATGGCTTTGAACATTGAGTCCTGGTTATCTGTAGACAATCACGACAAAAAAAAGCTAAAATGGCTGATTACACTCGTTGGTGGTACAAAGACAAATTGTGGAACATTGTGGACATTCAGCCATTCTTCGTGGCTGATCACCTAATACAGTTGTAACATGGCCGGAAAATGATGTCACAAGGGAGGATTGGTGACTCAACGTCAACAGCCACAAGAAGGAGAAATGTCCATTATTGAGTCAGACTTTTTTACGTTTTGCATCTCCTTGGTTGGGAGAGAGGCCCAAGTTTCCTTCATAGACCAATCACAAACCGCATTAAAGCAAAAGCAATACATTCCAAGTTGAAAATCAACGTAAATATGCATACCTTTCATTTCCAAAGTAGTCGTCCTTTCAGACATGTTCATAACATTCACGTTTACTAAATCCAGTTTTCTTTCCACATTTTTGCCCAGGGAATCGAAGCGTTTGGACAAAGCTTCAATGGCTTTGAACATTGAGTCCTGGTTATCTGTAGACAATCACGACAAAAAAAAGCTAAAATGGCTGATTACACTCGTAGGTGGTACAAAGACAAATTGTGGAACATTGTGGACATTCAGCCATTCTTCGTGGCTGATCACCTAATACAGTTGTAACATGGCCGGAAAATGATGTCACAAGGGAGGATTGGTGACTCAACGTCAACAGCCACAAGAAGGAGAAATGTCCATTATTGAGTCAGACTTTTTTACGTTTTGCATCTCCTTGGTTGGGAGAGAGGCTCAAGTTTCCTTCATAGACCAATTACAAACCGCATCAAAGCAAAAGCAATACATTCCAAGCTGAAAATCAATGTAAATATACATACCTTTCATTTCCAAAGTAGTCGTCCTTTCAGACATGTTCATAACATTCACGTTTACTAAATCCAGTTTTCTTTCCATATTTGTGCCCAGGGAGTCGAGGCGTTTGGACAAAGCTTCAATAGCTTTGAACATTGAGTCCTGGTTATCTGTAGACAATCGCGACAAAAAAAAAGCTAAAATGGCTGATTACACACATAGGTGGTGCAAAGAAAAATTGTGGAACATTGTGGACATTCAGCCATTCTTCGTGGCTGACCACCTAATACAGGTGTAACATGGCCGGGAAATGATGTCACAAGGGAGGATTGGTGACTCAACGTCAACAGCCACAAGTAGGAGAAATGTTCATCAATGAGTCAGACTTGTTTCTCTTTTTGCATCTCCTTGGTTGAGAGAGAGGCCCAAGTTTCCTTCATAGACCAATCACAAACCGCATTAAAACAAAAGCAATACAGCTCAAGTTGAAAATCAATGTAAATATGCATACCTTTCATTTCCAAAGCAGTCGTCCTTTCAGACATGTTCATAACATTCATGTTTACTAAATCAAGTTTTCTTTCCATATTTGTGTCCAGGGAGTCGAAGTGCTTGGACAAAGCTTCAATGGCTTTGAACATTGAGTCCTGGTTATCTGTAGACAATCACGACAAAAAAAAGAGCTAAAATGGCTGATTACACACGTAGGTGATACAAAGAAAAATTGTGAAATTCAACCATCAAACCTTTTAGAAAAGGCTTCCGATAGCTTTGTTCACTTTCTTCAGTTTCTTCAAAGACATTAAGATGAGTAGCTGAAACAAGACACACGCTTATACACGACTTAATGCATACCTTGCATTTCTAAAGCAGTTGTCCTCTGAGATGCGTTCTTGATATGGACATTTACTAAATCCAGTTTTCTTCCAATATTTACGTCCAGTGAGTCAAGACGTTTGGGCAATGTTTCAAAAGCTTTGTACATTGAGTCCATCTTTTCTGTAGACAATCACGACAAATAGAAAAGGATTTTTAAGACAAGCGATTACCCATTTAAGTGCCAGGGATAAAGGACAAACCGGGTTTCCCGGTGAGGATTCTAGCCCCTCCTATTGCGGCCCACATACTCCAGCAGCTGTAATGCAAACATTAAAGTTCTGTAAGGTTTTGTTAAATCGCCCAGTTTTCCCAAAGACCTCCACACCAGCTATGACCTTTTCACCAATCAAAACCGCATTACAGAAACACCACCACAAGTTCTAAATATACATACCTTGAATTTCCAAGACCGTTGTCCTTTGAGATGTGTTCGTAACATTCAAATTTACGAGATCCTCTCCAATTTGTTTGTCTTGCCAGTCAAGGCGTTTGGAAAAAGCTTCGATGGCTTCGTTTATTGATTCCAGTTTTTCTATGGACAGCCATGATAAGTAAAGATGTTAAAAAAACTGACTGTTTATGAAGGACAAAGAAGAGAAAATGCAGGTCATCGTTAAGACGTTTCAAACGCAAGAAGCTTAAGAGAGGATGTCAGCATCCATCGCACAAATTTGAAATATTGTGGCGAGTCGCCCTAAATTGGATATCTCTCCTACTTTCATATTTTGTAGCCCAATATGGCGGGGGTAAACCTGAAATTTGCTCCAAAACTCAGATTTTTGTTTTTCCTAGAATTTGTAGCTTTAGGTATTTAATTTTACTATGGAAAAATAATCTCCTATTTATTTACATTATTTTTACCTTTTTAAGTGATCTAAAAATTCCCGCACTGGCTAATTACGTGGTTACCATGGCAACGAGAAAAGCATTTTTGTGATTTATGGGTAGTTTGGGCTGTTTTCTGGCAATCATGTTACAAACGGGCGGAATTAAATGAGACACTTTATGTAATCTTATTTGAACAGTTTTTCTAAGGATAAAATCATTGTGGGATATATGAACGTCAGTTTCAGTCGAATGCAACACTCAGTTCACACAGAGCAATAAATCAGAGGTAAAGTTATCGAAAATGGTCGGAGAGAAAGGAAGATCTGTCTACGGGACAGATGGACCCATGTTTTTCAACATGTTCCTCAATGACCTCATCTTTCACATTAAGTCTGTAAAACTAAACACTTATGCTGATGACTGCCAACGGCACACATCTGACGTAGACCCAGTAGCCTTGGAACAGCGGATCAATCATGATGTACAAATAGCAAACAAATGGTTCGAAGACAATGGGATGAAAGCCAACCCCGCTAAACACCAAGGGATGGTTCTTGGCAAAACCGATTACCCTTTCTCCTTCTCAACCACAAGATGCCTGGAACTTTTTGGAATAATTCTTGATAATGAACTTAATTTCAAGGAACACATATCCTCTGTATGTAAAAAAATAAATAATCAGTTCAGTGTCTTCAAAAGATTTGGCAAACTTATTTCTACCGAAATTATGCTTCGCCTTTATAAAACGTTTATGTTACCTCATTTTCACTACTGTTCAATGATATGGCACTTTTGTAATTCAGAGGACTCTGTTAAACTGGACACCTTAAATAGACCTATTTTAAGATTTGTTTTAAAGGACTGGGACTCGAACTATGATGATCTTTTAGACAAGGCAGGTGGTGGGTGGTTTAGCCAATAGGAGGATACAAAATATGATGATTTGTATATTCAACTGTCTCCATCTTGGTAAATATCCGTACTATTTGAAACAACTGATCAAGCTAAGATCTACTGCTTACTCCCTAAGAGGCACCAATATTTTATCCCTTCCTAAGCCGTTTACAACCACATATGGTCTAAATTCTTTTAGCTATTCATCTGTTAAGTACTGGAACTCCCTCCCTGACCACTTTAGAAAGACTGTAGATTATAGTGAATTTAAGCACAAACTGTTAGTGCACGGTTTCTGTTAATATTACATTAATATTACATTATATTATTATATTAATGATTATTATATTATTATATTATTATATAATTATAATATGAATTTTTTTTTTCTCTTTATAGCCTTGTTCTTGCTGTAACTTTTAAAATTAGTAATTAGGATCGGAGATACTAGCTTGTAAGCTACACTGAAATCCGAGGATAAATAAAACTTATGTATGTATGTATGTATGTGCGGGAAGAAAAGAAAGATAATTTTTTCTGGAAGGCGAAAACAGGAAGAAGAGCCTGAAGAAACCGCTCCTGTTGTTGACGAAATCGCCTCCTCAACTCCTACCACCTCACGAGATGAAAATCAGCTCTCTGACTTGGACTCTAAAGAAACTGTTGGTTCTTCCAGAAAGAAAATTAAATATGCCGACGAGGAGCTTCTTTCAGACAGCTTTGATGATGAGTACACCTTCAATACCGAGGAAAGCGAGGGATATAGATTGATAGAAGTGAAGAATTTATCCACGACGGTCTCAAAGGCGCATATGCGTGAGAAAGGTGAGAATTTGCCTTTGTTTTTTTCTGGGATACCTGTGGTAGCCCAGACATAAAATGCCTTTGTTTTTTTGTCGTTTTTTTTTTTTTCCTCCGCCACAAAATGGAAAAATTGCGCAATAGTACCCTGTGGTCATTGGGCCCTCAACACCATGATAACTAACTGTGATCCAATGAGGTGTTCACATGCTGATCACGCGTGTTATCTTGATGATGATTGACGTTGTCATACACGGACAGGGCTGGGTCACATGACGAACCACGAGATTTTGCCTATAAAACTCTTTTATCAATCGTTTTGTATTTCAACGTGTTTGGATTGCGATCACCTGGAGCATTATGGCGCAAACGCTCATATTACTTACAGACGCATGCACAAGGCGTATTGTTCGCGGCAATTCCGCACTAAAAGATGTTATTGAGCGGTAATTTTGGAACGGATTGAGTCGCGAACGCTTGAAAGCCATGAAAGCCTTGAATGCCTTGTATGCCTTAGTTGAAAAACGTACAATTGTTGTAAAAAGCAAAATCTGAAATCTGAAACCAAACTGCATATACTCTATGCAATCTATTGAACAACACTACTACCGTGAGACTGAAGAACATAACTATAATGGATGCAAACTGCTTGTGAAGAAAGAAGCCATGTTGGATTCACTTGATGGTAAGGAACGCAGCTACGATAACAGTACGAATGGTATTAATTTCACGATCAGAAGGTGAATCTTATGTTTGTTTTCGTTGTAGTTGTATGGATATTCATTTTTAATAAATACGTGATCCAAAACCCTGTGTTTTTTGTGTATAATGTTATAATGTTAAGTACTGTTTACGCAATTGTCTTGTCACAGGCGGCCCAAGCTCACGTCTCGAGAAAAAGCCAACGATTAATTCATGAACGCATCACGCGTTGTGTGACTCGGTGTTAAGTTACGAGAGGAACCGTTGGAAATTTGAACACGTTATAAGGAATAGTATAGGGAACGAAATATGGTCTATTTACAACGATAAATATTTCGAAATATGGAAATTTTTCTTGTAAAATCAATAAAACTTACTCATACCCTGTGTATCCGTTGTAGTTTCTAGCAATTTATGCCGTTGTAAGCTTGCTTTACCATCACCGTTATTCAAATCATCTACTTTTATTACGTTGGTAAAATTTGTACAAACATTACACAAACTAACTCGCGCGCAAAGTAAGAAGACTATATTGAAGGCTTTAAATTATATTACGATCGATTTTCATCAAGAAATGGGCCAGGAATTTTCCACAATAGTGCAAATAATCATGAAGGCTGATCGCGGAAAAGCGATTGCGTGACGCTTGGTAAGCTGTAAGACGACATGTTGTTATATACCAGACGTAAAAACTCTTTAGATTCTCAGCCTGCATTTTGTACCCACTCTGCACTCTCCAGTCTATATTTTGTGTCCAGTCTGCTGTCTGCATTTTGTACTAACAGGTATCTGTGGCACCAATACAGTTTATTTTTGGTTACATTTATTCGCACAACACACATAATCTACCACAAAATACCTGTGTGTGAGGTAATTCGACATTTTCGTTCTTTTCCACGTTAATACTCTTCTTTTCTTTTGTAAGAATGTAGACCACTTAAATACAATGTTTCAAGTAATCCACCCACCCTACAAAAAAACAACTCTTGCATGCATACCATGCCTATACTTTGAAATAGGTGTATGCCCTTGGCCAGACTTGAGCTCACTATTTCAATATATTCATCGCCAGAAATCAAGGACATTTCGAGCCCGCTAACAATTATCAGCGGTATATCGTATTACACTCCGAAACAATAGAATATCAAGAGAATTCAATATGGCGGCGATCACGGCTCAATCTGCAAAGAAGCGTGTTTCGTACCATGACTTACACAATTTGAGCACCGAAGATCTTCTATTTGATGAAAAGAAAAAGAAAAGAAGACCTGCAAGTAAATCTTTGGGATTTTTCGAGGCAGAGCGATGACTGTTAGTTTCGAAACGCGTAACTTGTATACTTTTCTGTTAGGTTTGTTCCGGTTTATTATTTCTTCGTTGGTTAATGATTATTACTTAATGAGTTTCTATTTCAATCAGTTTCATTTAAGCACATGTACCAGATGTTGTATTTCATATTTCATCGCTATAAGTTGCTGTCGACGCAACCAATTTTCGCTGTTCCATTCATGTACGATCCGCTATCGGCGATTCATCTACAATCTTTAGGAGCTAGACCAAAGTAAGTTTTCCTCTATTTCACATTTAAGATATTTCCTTTTCTTTTTTTGGATACGTACATCGATTTATTCCTCGCTTTCAGTTCACTTTTTAATCGCTTTATTGTTAATTAGGCTAGTGTTACGTTTCTCACGGATATTTTCTTAGTTTAGTTTCTGCTGCATTTTCTTTTAGTTCGAACCACACAAATTCAGCTACATCGTTACCATCAATTGTAACTACGCTATCTTCAACTTTACTTCGCCCTCTTCATCTGTGATTTCACACCGATCTCCTTATTTCGTTTTTAATTTTGATTGCGTACTTCATTTGATTAAACCGTGATTTATA